ATCCAAAAACCAAGACAATTTTCGACAAATAGATTATGTCCTATTTAGAGGCCTAGACATCGGATGTTCGACTCAACACAACAGAAGCTTTACTACGCATTGCTTCAGAATGTCGAACGATGTCGAGTATCAAGTCGCTGACTCTCTCTACAGCCGGCCAAGTGAATGCCACAGTTAACTATCGCTCATTATATCTGAAGTATGTACATGCGATTAATTATCTAGATTTGGCCGAAAAGTTTAATTAGTCCTCCCCCGATTTGTGTTGATGAGGACACTTGGTGGCCTTAAGTTAAAGACATCTGCTTGTTATATTCTCTACTTAACCAACTTTCTGCAAATCACGGAACGGCCCATGATAATGCATATTAATGAAAGCACGCAACGGGCGGCGGGCCTCGTCTTTTACGGTGGATACTGTCATTTGAATAAGAAAAAAAATCGTACGCACTTCCTGTTGCCGGCCCAGATCTAAAATAAAGATACCTCGAAAATAACAAATTGTTAACGATTTTAGAATAAAGATAATCCTACATTTTTTTTTTGTTTGAAGGAAGAGAAATAAAAACCTTACACGGGCATGTTTCCAGCATATAACGATGTGCATCAACTGCAGCATTTATTTAACGGAGTAACTTAATTGGGTTTTATGTTAGATCCATCTAAAGAGGTCCATTTCTATCAGCTTCACTTGTATCCCTAACGATCAGGTTATTCGTAATGTTTTAGTTATACGCAGAGGGGTTTCGAACGACGAGGTTTTCTGCAAATGCTTGTGTATATGATCATCGATCGATTAACTAAAATACCTTTTATCTATCACAGTAAGTAGTCTAATGTGATTTTAACCCACGTTGAATCATTACTATAAACACATCGGATTTCCATTCGTCAGGTACTAGGTGGAACTTGTTTCCTACCTAAATAAAGAAATTCATCCCGGGGACTCTCTAATACTTCGATGGCTACTACGTATATTATAATCTGACCTTAACCTGTATTTAAGCTAGCTAGTTTAATATCATAATGCACTGCGTCCGCTGACCGTCGTTTCGTGTCGAAATTATTGTAGTATTTGTCGAAATTCCATAACTTGGAAAACTCGCTTTAGCTCACTTGTGCCGTTTTGGGCCAGACGTACAGCGCCTGTACACGAGATGGTCAGAACAGGTCCCCGGGCAAGTCCGGTAGCAACACTTTAAATGTCTGGTCAACTTTTGAACGACTCCGCCTTTTACTCGCTCCGGTTTAACCCGCACAAGGACCCTCGTGGCCCCGCCCAGGCCGATTAATGGCAAGCGGCAACATTTCAAGTGCAAACTCATAGAAACCCAGCCGTCGTCACACACATTCGTCCTTCTTCAATCGGATTCGTCGAACCACTTAATCTTCGGAAAAAATAATAGCGACAAATAGAGACTACCACGGTAACGTAATCTAAATTATTTTTTCGAACATCGAATAACTTTTGGTCAGGGTATATAAAAAGTACACTTTAAAAATTTACAAGGCGAATGAAGTTTTGCACATTTGGGTGCGCCTTGTTTCCGAGCTACACTTCATATCGCACGATTTCAGACCCACCGAATGGTAGTATATATTCGTTAAGACTGGCTGGCTAAGATTGGCTGGGTTTGCTGCTTTGACTTGTTTGTTTTCCTCATCGACCGAATGTTTCAACTGCTCGATCACAGAAAACGATTGCTTTTTAACTTGAACTTTAGCCAGCAATCACCGTAGGGGAATGTTGCCAAACGTCGCCAAAATGCCTATTAGCCGCCGCTTACTTGTCGCCGAAAGGCGACCGTCGCTTTGCGCCAAACGAAGTTAGCCGGCGTCGACGTGTCTGCCGGCAAGGTTTGCAGGTCTGTGATAATAGAAAAGCTGAGTATGGCAGGCGTCATGCAACAGATTTGGAATTCTAAGTCAGCCACAGACCACGGCCATATCTACGGAAGGGCAGCTCTGCCAACAGAAGAGAGGGGAACCTCCGGAGGGGGTAACTGCCTCGATGGTGTGTCGGCTGTTTTGCGGGGAAATCAAGCGGTGCGCGACGTGACCTCTTGCCGCTATGGATCAGCCGACTCCTCTGCACTAGCAGGCTACGGGCTGTCCCTGAGCCCCCTAGTTGCGGTCTCGTGACGAGCTTACTCTTATGCTTTACGCCAGTTACATGACAGACATAACGGGGAATCAAAGCACATAGAAGGCTAAAGAACGAGCGAAAACGCAGTGCCAGCAGACGAGAACAGTCAGGCACTACAGCTGACAGCAGATGGGGGGTCTGGACAGCGCATTTATGTATAACGACCGAGCTTTTCTGCGGGAACAGAGGCAGCTCCGATATCTGCGGCGGCACATAACAGGGTAGAGGAATCCAGCTTGAAAAGAATGGTTAGGCCATGGTGTAGCATAAAGGGAATGTCATTTTCGTTTCCAAAAGAAGATTGACCCCGAAATAGCTGTTCAAGGCATTGCAGCAGCAGTCGCGAGAGCAGAAGCTTCGAACCGATGAGAGCTCGATGGAGGAAACCCAGGCGACAACAAACAAAGACGGAAGACGAGAAAGCGTACGAAGGAAAAGAATGCTCAGAAGAGGCCGGTACAGGGTTAACAAAAGGCAAAAAGAAACTGAAAAAGAATTAATATCATGGACAAGACAACGAGCTTTGGCTTCACATTATCTGCCTGTATGTATGCATCGAAGTGGAAGTGGCTGCTGCTGCTGTTGCCGCTAATTCTACGGCTGATGCTGCTCTGTGCTAGGATAACTTCGATGGTGCTGACTGGCACTAGCACCAGCGAACAGGGCAGAAGTCGAAAAGCATATTCTAAGCCGACATGGAAAGAAGCAACTTGCGCCGATTTAAAGAAACTCTCAAATAGAACGAGAAAGGAAGGAACCAGGGCGCACAAGTTAGTGCAGAACCTAACGAAAACAGGGAAACCGAGGAATCCACTGAGTGCGATGCAGCAGGGCCTTCAAGGACCTCAGAAGGCGTCGAGAACAAGAGAGACGGCCACAGAGAACGAGCCACAAGAAGCCAACGGCGGAACATTGATTACCGCCATTAGTAGCGTGTGGGCTGGCCGAGAAAATCAGGCACAGCAAAAGCAGCGAAGAGCAGCAATGAAGGTTTCTATGCCACAGAAGACGGTAGGCGGGCAGACTGATACTGAATGGGAAATTGATACCTTCAGGGGTTGACGTCGCAGAATGGAGAAGGACTGTAGGGGACACACCGACTAGATTCCGAGTTAGAATCAGTCTTTCTGCCTTTTCAAATTAGCTTTGGAAACGGGAGCCTAAAGTCGCGTACCAGGAAAGGATCGAGAAGACGTTAAGCAATGTATTAGATGAACTCCAGCTACCCACAAGTCAGAAATGTATGTTTTTCTTTTGTAGTAATTTAGCTTCAGGCTGTAATATCGAAAATGGATAAGGGCTTCGTATATGAGAAACACCCTTTCGAAGATGCACACGAGCTGCGGGTTCATGTTTGTGTTTGCAACTTGGCACTATTGCTGCGTGTAGTAGTCGAGATGAACCTGCTAATTCTGAACTCTATCGGACACTCGTCGATCGGGAAACTATAATATATTATTCAACCCTACATAGTTTATTTAATCTCGGGAGCCACACGTACCAGACTAATGGACGGCCAGGGCTGACTTAAGTGGGCGCGGTTGATGTTCCTTGTCGCCACTTTATATGAAATAGGCCAACTTTTAATAATCCTTCTTTCGAATTTCTACTTCATCTACCTCGTCCTGTGATATTAAGGATTAGCAGAATACCGTACTGACGAACACGATATAAAAATTGTAATGCTAATTGTGAGTTACAAAAACGTAATAATAACATAAACTATTTCCCATACTTGACAAGTAGGTGAATAAGAACGGAAATATATAAGCGAAAACTGCATTATACCGAAACAACGAATGGCTGTCCCTAAATGAAATGGAAACGAGATTCCATTATGGCTAGTAAAGTAAATACATCGCTGTGATTATTTGGAACTAAGGAACTCTGTCCGGCGGCGTAGACCAGCAGTGTCATTTCGCGGAGTTTCCAACCGTTGCTGCTTTGGTCATCACAATGCATCATGCCTCAACCAGGGCAGTCGTCCAATTCAGCCTTTCTACCTAATCTCTGCTGCAGACGGCGCCACTCAAGCTCATCGCTCGTTGCCTTCTACCAGTCACCCTATATCTCACTTGTGACCCACGATTCATCGAAACGACAACGACGGTATGGCGATACTCACTCACTCACTGCTTTGCCTACCAATTTCCTGATTGCGCGCTTTTGCTTGATCCGGTCTAATTCTTTAAGACTGGGCACAGAAGGGGTGAACCAACAGGAGCACCCCAATTGGTAGAGGAAAGGCAGAAGCGAATTTGCTTTCGACTGTTGATGACGAACCCAATGCAAAGAGCAAACTCTGAACGCTGTGATTCGCTTTCTCCTAAAAGCGACATACGCTTTTGTATCGGTATTAATTTCAACAAGAGAACAGATTCCAACAGGATTAATGTTTTCAGTAATAATATAATTGTTTTGTTTGATTTAATTATATCTTGCCGCATTGCGATTTTTATGCCCAGATTAATTTTATTAAAGAACTCACAATAAAAAGAGACCGACTGTATCCCTAGTACCCGCTAAAAGAGGTCACAGAACTAAAATTTACCTTTCTAAATTTAATCCTACCTATTATAGCAATGAGTTCTCCAACGAGCCAACTATCATCCAACTACACTACCTTGACGCTAAGTGAATTTAATAGAATATTCTAACAAAACTGATAGAACCTTTCCCGCCATGTATATTTCAATCCTGGTGGTCGTATTTAAATATGCAATGCGTGTTCTGAAATGTTTCTCCATGATGCAAAGTTTGTTAAGGCTTTAATTTAACCATGCTGGAAAAGAATTTTGCAGATTGTTATCCATAGGTATAATATGTATGCAGAAGAATGATAGTAGATACTTACGTGTTAGCGCAACAGTGGCGACCCGACTCTGCACTTTACCGATGCTGCTCCAGGCATGACAAACGCACTGCATGACGTGACCCGCTTCCTTGAGCAATCGATGGGGATGTACTTCTGCCACTGCCTCAATGTTACGAACGCCTGTCATAGGATCAACAAAATCTACTGTCTTTGAGGTGAGGCTATGCCCATTGCAGCGAAAGTGCACAGACAATGCGTGCGACGCCTGACATTGCAGACGACCAGGGCGACCTTTGGACACGGCTACGTCTTGCGGCTCTTCAACCAGCACGGGGCCCTTGATGACTTCGTGGGTGAGTAACTGATTCATGCTCGTTCCACCAGTATCGACCCCAGACGGTCCAAGGGGACCGCCAAGTGCCGCACTGGCATCTCGATCCCCATCTCCGTCTTGCTCCTCGTCCAGGTCCTCCTCCAACTCATCTGAAATGGAGATTGCAACAGACCAAAGCAGTATCTGGTTAGTACCCGCGGCCAGGTCTACCCGAGAGACTTAACCGCCCATAGGCTATCTCACTCTCTGCATGCAGGTTTCCACTTCGTTAATGCGCACCCGAAGCAGCCTGTACTAATAGCACTATAGACAGCCATACGGCATCAGCCACTGCAGCTGTGCGATACACTAGCACCCTAAAGCATAACATGAGTCTCCTCGTTTTCTGTCCTTTAAGCCGAAACTAAAGCCTTCGATCGAACGCCCTCTACGTGTCTAGCCAGCGGGTCTCCCGCTTCTGCCGCCTTTCTTTCAGAGTAAATCCGAGATATCCGCTCGGAGCAAGCGGCGAGCACTAACTTTGTCAGCATCGAGTACCTCCAGCCGCTCCTCTACTTTAGGCGCCTTGATCAGGCCACGTCATCATCGCGCACATAAACTTATACACACGAGCCGCGATGCTGCGATGTGTCGTTGATATTGACACTACCCACAACGGAGACCGGTGTGTTAATGTTTTTGGATCTCGCGATTAAGTAGGAGCTCCGGCCGATGTTGGAGATTTACGTAAGTGGGTACCGAGAAAGGAAATCGGCGAGGTATTCAATTGCTTGACGACAAGCAACCGACAGACCAACGTTAACGAAATCGACTAGTCTCGTAAAAAGGACTCTTAGTAAACGACGAATTGCTAGAATAGGGCTATGTTGGTGGCAGCACGTGCAAGCAATGGCTGAAAATGGCGAAATTGCTTAAGTAAACGGCCAGCAGAGCAGTTATTCTCTCCATGCTCTGCTTCGCTTTTCTTTTTCTTTTCTTCTTCGCCGTGGAACGAATAGAGGCGGCATGAAGTAAAGAAGAAAAAAGAAGACCACAAAGCCCAGCAATGGCCTTAAATGAATGTCGTTCTGCGAGCGTTCGAGTAGCTGTGCAACCGGGGAACAGTCAGACAGCCATGCCATTGCTTTTGCAGCACGCAGACCATCTCGTTTCAGTCGAGGTTGGTGCATGGACCCCTTCTTGCTTTTCCTCTGCAGCTGTCTTACCGCTGCTATGCCTCCGGTTGCTATGCTCGCTCACGGCCGGAAATTAGAAACGAAAACGGTCTATTTTGCCCCATCTTTAACATCTCGCCCAACACCTCTGCTGGCTTCGGAGAGCCGAATATAGCGCGTCCCAAAAAGCACCAGGGAACACACCGACTCAACATAATGGAAATGGAGAAGCTTATTAAGAAGTTTTGCCAGAACCTTTTGCTTCTGTACGATCCGATTTATTTGAAGAAGAATAAACTTTACGCCGTTTTTGACAGGGTTGTACCCAGGCCACGTGTTACACTTCTATCGATTTACTAAAAGAAAGACTTTAGGTTATAGGGAGAGCGTTCTTGGTGGGTTCCTGGAATTACCGGAGAAGATTGATTACCGAGAATACATACGTTTCCGCCTTATAAGCCCAATATGCCACGAGCCTCCACCACAATGAACTGGCGAATGCTCGATTTTGAAAACTAATGTTGACAACAGATGTTCGCGTTAGATTGAGCTATTTAAATGCGTAAAGTTCGAACGTGTCGATCCATTTTGTGAAAGTCATAGATGGTTTTTCGCGCCCCTTAAAAAACAGCCGGCTACCAATACGGTTCTTTTCGTAAGTTAGTTAGAAGAAAAGCGATTTATCTAAGCCACGAACAAGAAGGCACTTGGTACCATCTGATTGGAGAGCGTCCAGCCCTTTTCCTACCAACCCTTTCGAGGTCCTTCTGACACCAGCACCGAAGGGCAACAGCTCGTTGACTCTAGCGTATATAAGGAAGCAGACAGACAGGTTGAATCATCAGACGTGGCTGCCGCCTGGGGTTTCTGCCGTGCGAAAAGAATTCTTGCACATTTACCCTAGATCGATACTGGCTGCTTGAACGATACTGTGAAAAGACTTAGAAGCAGAAACCTACCCGACGGAACCTGGGAAGCTGACTTAAGTGGCAACTATGGAGAGAGGTGTACCTATTTCGGCACCTTAGCATGGCAGGGCACCAAGAGATAAAAGAAAACCAAAAAGACCTGGGTCTCCACTGTCGTGACCCAGTCACCAACATGTCTCCTTATTTGGGGTTTACCTACCCTTTTCGAAAGCACGCAAGAGGGACACACTTTTAGGCTAACATCTTGACACTGAACGAAGCCGTTTGAACGAAGCTGAAGAACCCAAGGCACCGCCCGACGTTGTAGCTCAACGAAAAAGAAGCAACTTCTTAGCCAATAAAAGAAGCGAAATTTTTGTAGCATCTCGCAAGCTTACTACACTGTATTATACCCTCCTCTAGCTTGTACTATAGCGAACGCCCGATTTGGTGTCTTCGTCCGTTTGCTATTGTTGTTGTTGCCGCCGAGCGGGTCACGGACAAAGCAGAATAACATTGCGCACTTTCAAAGATCACCAAGCTGCCTGTCTGCTTTTGTTGGCAGCCGACAGTTCTAACTTTGGCCAAGGACCTTCAGAAGGCGAGTTGAGCGTGTAGTTGTGTCGGGAGGACAGGATTTACGCACGAAAAGAAAAACCATCAGCTTCGACCATGGTGGGCTATTTACATCAGCGAAAAGTACGCGTCTACCACTAGCATAACTACTACTAAGACTCGCCATCACGTAAACTGTCTTATTCTGTTTTATTTCAGCTTAACGTTCAGATTTCCTGCAAAAACCAGCCCTGGTAGTGCAGGACCTGAGCGCAGGACCATGGCAGTTAATCCGAAGACCGCTGTCCGACAGTTGTGCTTGCAGGTCTAGATACAACTGGTCGACTATAACTGTATTTAGCGCTTTCGGCAGTGGCAATCTACATAAAAACACAATGAGAAAACGGCCGGTGGCAAAAAGAAAAAAGGAGGGGTACGAGAATGAGAAGCCAAGACCCCAATACAGCCGACGAGCGGCGCCAAGCGGTGTTGGTAATGATTACGCCCCGTAATGTATTCATAACCTGTTCCCATGCCGCGCGCTGCTACAACAAGCGAGCAAGAGAAAGCTGGGGAGGCTATCCATTTTTGCGGATTACTTCCATCAACAGCAGCAGCAGCAGCAGCAGCGTACCTTGCCCCTATTTCTCCCGCTTACTGTTATCCCTATTCTACTACGAGCCACTTGCCTCTTGGGCACAGTACGCGACGACTCGTTGTTTCGGACCGTTTCCTTCTCTTTTTATTTCTGGGTCTGTAACCTGTGCGCCGCCTTTAGCATATGCGCCTCTCAGAAAGACGAAAGGTTCCATCTGTTAAGGATACACTAGATTTTTGTCCGACAAAACAATCACGAAAACTTAATTCTCCAAGCTATAATATCTAACTACAGATACGCCGCTAGATCCTTCTACACATCGGACAGTGTTGATCTTTGTTCACGTAAGAAGTACCGATACGTTTCTTAAGATTTACGTGATTGCTGCTTTCGCTGGTAATAGGTAAGACCGCTCAATAAAGTAATGCATGAGTTAAGACCCTGAAAATTATTTGAGTGTCCCTACATCAGAATGAGCCATGCCAGAATAACGGTTTGTAGAAACAATATAGCAATTACAGGATCGTTTTAGGTTCCTGACGAACTGCTTCATAGCCCAAACTTATTCCGCGTAGGAATATCAGTACAATGTTACTCATATACTAATGAAACGTAAAGCGAAAACATGCAACGCTCACGGTTGATGCACTATTTATAATATATA